GCGTGTCCGCTTGTTGCATGAGGTAGGTTTCGCCATTGTTATGAAGTTTTAGTTTTGAGTATGCATTCTTCTTATCCATCGTCTCATCAAAAATGGGTTTTCCATTGGCATTGCACATTTTCTGACTTAGGTTGGACGAGAACTGGAAACGAACTTTGGTGGCAAAGCTTCAAATCTTGTGGAATCTTGTGGAAGATCGGCTGTTAAGCTTGTTACTCTTATCACTAGGCACTTTCCCGGTATGCTTGTTTTGGGTCTTATTGTTTGTCGAAATCATTTCTTGGTTATTGTTGTTAAACAACTTCCTAAAGGACAAACTGTACAGGTTTTAGAGACCATTCACTGTACAAGGGTCGGCAGGTGTTTTTGTACAAAAGAGCACAGATATTTGTAGCAGACTTATGGGGTGCATTTAAGGGCCAGCGATATGGCGAATTCTATGACATTGGTTCAATCACCATGTTTGCAGACTACATTGTTCCTGCTGTGCTTCAGCAGCTTGGTGTATTGAAGTATAGCTCAAGCCTTTCCAGCTCTATCAGAGATAATACAGAGATACTTCCAGGCAGTGAGGAAGAGGTTGAACTTCGGGCATGCTCTATTCACGCTGTGGAGAAAATAAGGGAATTACTTAATATAAAAGCAGAAAAGAAGGTATGAGTGAGTTAATCTTTAACAGAGTTTTCGGTTGTTCATTCTATTTCTCCCTGTTTTGGTCATCTAGTTGAGGGATGTGATATTGCACATACTATATGCTCTTGAATGCATCTTTTCGAGTTTCTGGTTTGTCAGTTGTCTGATTTTAAGCTTCTCTTTGTTCAGGTGTTAAGCCTCGAGTTAGACCTTTGGCTGTGGTCAGTTGGCATCCAGTGCTCGTCTCTTCAACACCACAGGACTCTCTCAATCTATTACTGAGTGAATCATCAAAATTTACTCTTAGAAAGTTTTTGATGTGATAGAATTATAAACCATCAAACTCATGTCTCGTCGTTGTCATCAAGTGCCCGAATTTCGAATTTGGGGGTAGTTTGATCGATCAATTGGAAATGATTGATCGGAGACAGAATTTGATGCATTAGAGAGGCACATATCATCTGTCTCGCTTTGAAACGTAGCATAAAATAAATAAGGGAAAATATCTTATTGCCTCCAGAATCCTGAGTTGCTTGATTTAGAGTACCCAAACACTGTAGTTTCAACTATTTTTTTTCAGTCATGAGATGAAGTGTGCTTCTTCTGCGTTATGTTGTTTCTAACTTTCTACGAGCTACTCGAAGAGCTAGGATTCTTTGTAATTGGCAAATTTCCATCATATGTGCACTTCAGTACATCAGGTTTCCTTGCCAGCCTGGGACCTCTCAGAACTTTGTCGGTCTTTGGCCGAATATCCTGCATCGAGTTGACATAGGTGAAGGACCGAGCAATCTCAGCGGGGTTTTATCTAACTTGTTGACTTGAATCCTGATTATGGAGCTCATAGATTGTAACTTGTGGGAGATGCTAGAAAATCTGTACCTGGTCAAAGATGGCAGTGGGTATTGCTAGTGTAGCAACAGCATTTGGAGAATCAACAATCCCAGATATCCTTCCTTCACAAGGACAGCATGAAAGCAAGAGATATGCCTGTTCATGCCATGATGGTATATTATTCATGATTAGCATTGTTTTCCCTTTTGATACCATTTTTTCTTGATCTTGATATTATGACATCCTAAGTTCCTAGAGCAGTATGTGCAGGCCAAGATGCTGTTAGAGATCCAAACCTGTTCTTTCGAGTAACCGAATTTGGACAGGTAGTCGATGGCGTTGAGAACTGCGCGTTTGTAAGCAACTGTCGCGTCCAGGTAATGCTGCCTCCCACTCTCATCAACACTGATGCCTTCGAAGACCAGCCACTCTGAGAATCTTGGTTCGACTGGTCCTATCTCGAAGATTGGATTTACATGGAGAGGGGTGGGTCCCATCGGTGTCAGGTACTCTTTCATCCCATTCCTTATGATTTCACACCTATATGTTGAGATGGAAGACAAGATTTTATCAGAGGTAAAACAAGAAACTAGGCTACTGCTAAAGGATAAATGCGAGAACAACTGCAAGTAGGGAATGTGATATATATACTTCAGTTCTAGAAATCCACTCATCTCGATTGCTCCACAGAATGAGATTTCTCCATCACCCTGAGAGAAATGCATGTCGCCTGTGCTAAGGTTAGCCCCTTCTACGAAGACTGGGAGGTATATTTTAGAACCTCTGCTGAGGTTTTTGATGTCACAGTTTCCTCCATTTTCTCTTCCGGGAATAGTCCTTGCGGCCTCCTTAGCAATCCTTTCCCATTCTTGGGCGCCTTCTTTAATCTAGTAATACAAATGGGTCAAGACTCAAAGATTAAGCATAGATTTATACTTTCCTCTGGTGAATGGAAAGCTTTTTAGTAGCTCTTAGTATCGAATATCGCCTACTTTTCCAAGGAGGCATCCTTTAGTTGTTGGTAGGTTTGCCAAGGGACGTTGATGCAGAATCTCGCATAGTGTTAGGGACTGGATACCATTTTCTTCTAGTTGTCTTTCCCTCTCATTCCATATATTTAAGAGTTCTATTGATGGTGCAGTTCCGATGATCCCTGGGTGTGTCAACCCCGGAAATCGTACTCCTGCCTCGACGATATTTGACATGTGAGCTAATGCATAAAGTCAAAAGTGATGCAGCTCTCCATATTTCTTTTTTATGTTTCTTTTTCTCAATGGGAGGAAATCGAAAGGATGCCATTGGAGGATCTTATTGCAAACTCTAACTAGATAAACAAAACAAAAAAACTGCTCTGCTCTCACCAGGAATTTGAGGAGAGTGGGCATAGATGCCTTGGAAGTACCAGATGGCTTTGGTTGCAGATGGAAAATGATCGGTCAAGAAGCCGCCGCCATTCTCTCTGTCAAAAGTAGCAGTGAAGCCCCATTCGTCGCCCGGGAGAGGACCCAAGTTGCATATTTCCACTGCAAGAAGATCCCCTGGCTTAGCTGGAACACCATCTTCATCCACGACTCTGATCGGTCCGCTGAGGTAATGAACCTTCAGTTATCAACACATGCCCAGTTCTTATCTCATTCATCATTATATTAGGTTGAGACCATAGGAGATAGATATGAATAGCAGTGTGTATACTGTATACGTATGCTTACAGTAGAAAGGTCCAAGTATTTGATGTCAGAAGCAGAACCATCGTCTTTGATGGCACCGCCAGTCCAATCCACCATCTCTACCCTGAAAAACTCACCAGACTTGACCTCTGCAACTGATGGTATATGAGGATGCCATCTATTATGCAGTGGTTGGTCCTGCTCCCATGGTTTCTTTGTCAGATCCACCTGAATCACTACCCGAGCCATTTTCGGGCTTTCGCTCAGTGTTTTACTAAAAACCCTTTCACTACTATTATCCCAACTCCTTAACTCTAGTTTTTTTTTTTTTTAAATCTTCTAGTGGATAGATATAAGTAGGAGCATACATATTAAAAAAAAAACTAAGTTTCATGTGGTTGTAGTGACCTTATCCATGACAGGGCAGGACATTGTCGTTGTCTTTCGCTTTCATCTAACGCGTATCTGCTGTGCACTTACCATATGCATTGACCGGATTCGGTCGGAAATTGCATTCATGTCTGAGGAGCGTAAAAATCAGCCGTGGCTTACGAACTGGATCGTTTTTGGCGAATTTGGTCCTTTTTTTTTTTGCACGTTTATAAAACTAGCTCACATTCCAAATAATCTTTTTTTTTGGGTGCTACGAACCTAAACTGTAAACCATTCTTTTCGTTTTATTTTATGACACTCGTCAATTACGAAATCCTGCCCTACTCATGAAAAATGTGCAAATAAAACTTGATATCTTGTTGGTCCATATGTAAATTGATAGACTATAATTTTATTATATTTATATTTATATTTTATTTTTTTATGTTTTACTTTGTATTGAATTGAGTTTATCTTGTATATCGTTTTTAATCTTATTTGTAGTGGATTTGCAAACTTAACTTAAAACTTAATATTTAAAACTTGTTTAATAAAACACAAGCGATTACAGAGTTTAAAATTTGGTTCGAGCAAGACCAACTCTCGTATAAACCACCCACGTTGTACGATTTAATGATTTATTAACAGAGAAAAAATGTTTTTTTTTTTTATTTTCAAAAGGGTTTCTTATGATCTAGCAGCAGCAACCGGTGTTACAGAAGACACGGATAAGGCAAACTGGTTGTTGATCCAAGAGACTGATACAAACGTGGAATTACAGATATGGGGTATAGGTATAGAGAGCAGTGGTCTGACCATTCATTCATTCGCTCATTCGTTCACTTGTTGTTGAGATGGGGAAAGCAAGCGAAGAGATCGGATTTCGGGTGCCTTGCCTCCGCGTGCTCCTTGCACTTCACTTCCGTCGTCGTACATATGAACGTTTGCATGCATACCTTGCACTGAAATCTCAACATTTCTCATATATAATACCGAAAACGATCGACCGAGGGTACACCTAATGTATGAAGAAAACGGACGAGACATGCCAATTCCAGGCGAGTGAGAAACATAAGCTCGCTAACCATGCTTTCTACGAAAGGTAGAAAGTAAATGATCACGATCGGTTTCAGCAAAAGGGTTCGTTTCATTGTGCATCGATGACAACCTGATACTTATCGCAAGTGCAAGATCACTAGCTTCGGCCGCCAAACAAGTATGAGTAATTCTATCTGGTGCTATGCTATAACCTGATCATCCATCCATCTAATCACCCCTTACAACAGTGACAAATTCTAATCCTGCCAGACAATCTACCAAATAAACTTGAGTATGCTCATGATCCTCCAGAATCTAGGAATGAAAATGCTCATGATTCATGGTTTTCACATTCAAATGCACAAGAAACAGCTTCTAGAATTCGACTGTGAAGCTAAATGTTCTGCAAATTAGTTAAGATTCTAAAAACATTTCAAAATCTGACAACGAGCAGTGTAATAATAGAAGTAAAAATCATCACCTGAATCGTCATTGCTTTCTTGTTCTTTTCCAATTGGCTTCCTGCAGGAGATCAAACTACCAACATCAACAGAAACTAAAACTACACTCGCATAAAAGGAGAAAACATGTTCTATCATCCACTGACTTTTGGCGGAAAACTAGCGCAGTGCAAGAAGAGAAGAAATCTGAAACGCAATAGCTTCGCATCTTTCCTCTTTCTTCCTCAGATTCTCGGGAACCAAACGGAAACGCGATAATTTCGCGCAAGAAATTCAGTCAGCGGCTTTTACCTTTTCCAGCAGCCTTCTGCTTCTCCAGGTTCCTCTCGCGAGCCATCTTCGATTTCTGCGCATTTCCCCCTCCCATTTCTCAACGACCGATCAAAGCAGGAGGGCTCAAACCCTAATTCCCAAGAGAAACCACGAGATGCCAATATGATATCAACGCTACCGACATCACACCAAGACAATGGTATTCATATATATGGCAGTCAATGGATTTGATGATTGATCGAAGTCATGAGCCCATCCGACCAATTTTGCCAGTGGACTCGGCCCATTGGGCCTGCATGCCCTCCCTAATATGGCATCGTATCAGTACAGGGAAAATTTTAAAAAAATAAATATTTTAAAAGTTTTTTGTTTAAAAAATTAGAAAAAAAATTTATGCCAATTTCCATGGATAGCAAAAAAAAAAAATCTTCAGACTTTTATATTTGTTGTAGCGGTGATCGTTAAATTGCTTGTCATCTTTGATCTTGATCTTGATCTTGTTAAGGGGAAAAAAATAGGAAAATTTAGAATGTAAATAAAAATAGGTGCGAGATAAAAAAAAAAAAACTTACGAGAAAGAAAAGAGACCAGTGGTAATTTGATAATGACGGTCAAAAAGAGATTAGTAGAGATTAGTGGTAAAACTAATAAGAGAAATATAAAAAATAGTTTTAAAAAGCTAACAACGTAAAAACACTTTTTACCCAAAAAAAACAATGTAAAAAACTATAATAACTATATGTAAAGCCATTTATGTATAAATTATATATTTTACAAGATTTATTGATGTAGTTTGCAAAATAATTTTGCTTACATAACTCACAAATTTTTTTTTTAATTGAACAATTAGAGAATTTCAATATATATATACACATATATAGAAAAGGAAAAAAAATATATGATTTCATTGGGGGTAGCTTTTGATTTTTAGCTTCAAAATGTAAAAAAGAAAGGCTGCTGTATTCTTCCCTTTTCGTTTCTTCACGTGGCAGTAACCACTTTTTTATAAAAAGCATTTGGAATTACTTCTATTTGCAAGCCAAGTCTTCCTTTTTACAAACACCATTTCCCTTTTGGCTTTTGCAATGATATATACACATATATATATATATATATATATAATTTAAATTATTTGCACCACAATAACGGTAGTGAATAATGTGGTCACTTCACTTTAAATAAAAGGATCGGACCATGAGTAAAGAAAAAGCAATGTGGAATCCATGTATATAAAAAAACGACGACAATTTAAATGAAGAAAATATTATTTTCATACATAAGAGAACTGGTCGTACAAAAAAAATAAAACAAGGAAAAAAAACCAAATCGTATGAAATTTAATTTACTCATATACCAAATGTGAGCGGAACCGAAGAAGAACACCAAGATAGGGTCAAAGAAGATAAATTTAAAAATTAAGGGGCTGAAAAAAAATTATGTCTAGAGGGCCAAAGCGAAAACAGCCGCCGCCGCAGCTCCTATCACGTGCCGCCGCGCCCATGTGCTCTCTGCTCCGCTCTGCAATTTCATTTAAATTTCCCATTTTATAAAATAAATAAATAAATAAAATCATTGCTCTAATAATTCCTTTTTTATTCAAATGGGACGTTAATTAAGTGTCAATTGTATTAATAATCGTCACTAAAAACACGGACATCGACTAATTTCACAGAGGCATTTCAAGATCGTTAATGTGATAAATAATAAATAACCTATGGTTATTTATTATTAGAGAGGATTACATATCAGTGATTATTTGCAGTGCAAAAAAGGGAACAGATACTTATGCCAAAAAGTAAGTCGTAACAATACCTGATCGTCGGCGGAAGTGGAGGGACCGGGAGATGAAGCGTCGAGGCTTGGGCCGGGAGCCTCCATCGGCGGCGCAGGCGGTCCGAAAATCTCCGGCGCCGGAGCCGGAGCGCTCCCGTGTTTTTTCTTGCTCTTCGTCTTCTGCTTGCTCGGAGCCGGTGCTGGAACATCAGCACTCGGAGCCACCACCGGAGCCGAAGGCTCTTCCGCCTTCGGCGACGGAGCCGGCGGAGAGCTCGCGGGAGCCGGAGGAGAGCTGACAGGAGCCGGAGATTTGGGAGCCTCGACCGGCGTAGCGGTCGCCGGAGCCTCCGCAGGAGTGGAAACCGGTGACGGAGAGACGGGAGAAGTGGCGGGAGCTGGAGATTTTGGCTTCTCGGGAGATTTCGCGGGGGAAGTGGTCGGAGCCAGGGGAGAGTTGATCGGAGAAGCTGCCGGAGACTGGCCGCCGACTCCGGCAACGACAATGCAGATCAATGTGACTGTAAGGAGAACATTGCGATCCATTTTTTGAAATCGATAAACAGAATAAGAAACTGAATTAAGAGAGAGAGAATAGAGTCGGCCGTGGGGCAAGCCAAACAGAAGGGGGAAATATATAGGAGAGGGATATAAATCTAGACCGTTGATCAAAGGGAAGCGACGATGGGGAAAGAAATAGCCGTTGGCTTGAGGACGTGAAATAAAAACCAAAAAAGTGGGTTCCATCGATATAGGGACACGCAGTCTGGCCGTGGGACCATACCAATATACCATGGCTTGTATTCAGATATTTACAAATATTAAATTTTGTTATCCGTATCCGATACACAGTTTTCGAATATCTATAATTTTAAATATTCATAAAAATCGTGCGGATATTTATAAATATCCGTATCCGATATAAAATATATATAAAAAAAAATTACTAAATGAACTCAAACTCAAATCAAGTTACAACCAACCAACTCAGCAAATATATATCTATGTCCTAAAATCAATGAACCCAATTCAAATTCTCGAGATTCAACCAGTGAACTAGTTTTCACCAAAGTTATAACCTGCCAACCGTCCCACCAAAAAATCAAACCTATAAATCGAATATATGTGATATATCTCCGATTTGGACGAGCGAACATGGTACAAAAGAAATATCAAACGGCATAAAAACCCATTATCGGAAGCTCGATTTGTTATGGTGTCTTCATGATCATCATGTACATACGATTCTGGTATCATATGACTCATCATCGATTCATCATTACAAACAACAAAAAACATCTTTTCCCAATCAAATCCATAAATCATCCATATAACTCAAACCAAGAGAAAGAGAGAATATTCAACAACAAAGAACAACGAATAAAAGATTGGGTAGAGATTCTACCTTTAGATCAAAAAACTGCTCTAGCAAGAACGATAGAGAAGAAAAGAGTGGGCAAGAGAGAGTGGGCAAGAGAGACAAAGGGGAAAGGAGGTGTAGAACTTACAGAATGTCTTCGGAAAAAAAACCCCTAACATAACTTTTAACTTTTACAAAATTATCCTTACATATAAACTAATTATAAAATTAGTTATATATTACTAAAAGTACTAAAAAAAATATAGATCGGATCGGATACGTCGGATCTGAGTTCCGAATTTTTTTATTCGAATACAGATCGAATAACGGATCGGATCGGTTTTTTCGGATATTTTATCCACCCATAGGTTGAATTGGGTTTAAAGTTGTTGAAAACCTATGAAAACGCGGAAGACTTTTATATCGATACTCGTTATACTTCTTTCCATTGTTTTATTTACGATGATATACATAAAATTTCTAATGACGTCGGTTCGGACCTCCCAACCTGGCGACACACAGGAGGCAATCGAAAGACTTTCTTCTCCACGAGGCAAACATGGGAACAATTGAGATCTCTCCGAGAACTGAGTTCGAAGGTTGTGGCTTGGCATGGTTCCAACAGGCTATTCTAAGGCATGCGTTCTTAATGTGGCAGGTACTCCAATAGCGTCTCCCGACTACCGACCGCCTCGAGACGTGGGGAATCCAAGCTCCAAATCGATGCACTCTTTGTTGCGCCAATTTGGAATCACATCCCCACTTTGTTCTTTGGTTGCAGATTTAATAGCTCGATTTGACTGCACTTTGAACGGCTAATGGAGGACCCCCCACCGACATATTTCCGGTACTTTTTGGATTGGACCAACCAATCTACAAACCGCGACCAAGTTACGATCAAGAAGTTATTCACGCAAGCTATCACATACACCATTTGGATAGAAATGAACTATCACATTCAAAAAGATCGACATCTTACTATCCACCATGCAAGACTTAAACTCGACCATACTACTAAGAACAAACTACTCTCTCTCCACAATTCGAGCACGACAGAAAATAAACTATTACAATAGTGATATCGCATTACTTCATCTAGGAGAATGTAATTTTGCGCATTGTTTATGAGAATTTCATTTAGAGTTATCTTTATTTTTATTTTGTAAATATTAAGACAGTTGTTTTGTTTGGTATTAATTCAAACACATTAGAAAAAAAAATCTGGTCCCAATTATAGGTGATGATCCCGATCTGGTCCCAACTAGAATGGGTCCCACATCGTAATAATTAATTTAGTTAGCCAGTTTGAATTTTGTAATAATGTTGCGGGTCACGTCATCTGATTCCATTCCATACCCCTTTTAAATTATATTACTTAAAAAAAGTAACGAAATGTGTACGTAACGTGACATGCCCATACTCCCACGTAAAAAGGCTTTCAAAAAAATTGGAAGGACTTAGGGGCTAAGTAAATTCTAGGCCTTTTTTTTTTCCATTTGTTAATAAAACGATTCGAAATACCAACTCTACTCTTGTTACTCCAAACATACGGAACATTTGCTTGCTTCATGGACTTGCATTCATATTCCTCTCATATTTCAATTCCACGTTTGCTCCGATGTTTGGAGTTGGACCACGTGGCTCGAGCTTATTGGCTTTCATGAGTCAACGACAAATAAAACGCGGTTTATCTTTGCGTTTAACGGCGGATTTATCATCTGTCTGAAATAATGTTGTTTTTTGTCGGTCTAGTTTCATTCACACGATTCCATGCACATTTTGTGCAAATTTGATATTTTTTTAAATCATATAACGAATTTGTAAAAATATTAGCCAGTAACCCGAAAAGGGACCAACATTTTCATTTATAAACAAGTCAAATCCGTACAAACCACTTTCAGCGATTCGACCCTTCTACATTCACGGGACCCCTTGACGGTTGATAACAGAACCACCGGAAGCGTCGGAAGACACGGCGGCGTAGGCGCCGGAAGGAGTGGGCGCGTCGGTGGCTCCGGCGCCGCGGCCGGGCTTAGGTTCCACGTGGCCTTTTGCCCCGTAACCTTTCATCTTGTACTCATCCAATGTGTCGTAGTCCAAGTACGGGCTCTTGAATGACACGTCAGCTATCTTCACCTCTTCCCCCTCCGCCGCCGGCATCTCCTTCCTCCCATCCGCCGCCGCCGCCGCCGCCGCCGCCGCTGCTTCCATTTTTTCCGGCCTCTTCTTCATGGCTTTATCCTCTTTTTTTCTTTTTCTTTTTTGGTACAGTTTATCCTCTTTTTTTGTCGTCTGTAATTTTCTCCCTTAGTGACTTTTGCATATATACCGTTGGTATAGATACTGTGGCTCTGCCACGTGCATGACACGTGGCATCTCCATAAGGTTCACGGGGCTCTACGTGCCCCATTCCCGTGGACGTGTCGGGTTTCATTTTCTTACTCTATTTTTCAATTGTTATTTTTTATGCCGCTGACGTGGCACGTCGGCTTTTCCCCGACAGTGCCTACTTCTTCGTCCTCCACGATATAAGGCTTCTCCGTTTCCCTCGCCCGTAGGCTCTTCCCGGCGATGACGACTCGATCTTTTTTTCTCTGGATGGTTTTTTTTTCCCTTTTCGCTCCTTTTGCCAAGTATATGTATACACAATCTCTTATTTATAGGAAAATGCATAAATCATGGTCCTAAAATGGATTCCCCGGTGATGATGATGAAATAAATTGTAATTAGTGATAATTTATTCCAATTTTCGAATGTCTACTTTCATATCGTTTTTTATGATTATTTGGTGGCAAGAAATAAGGAGCTGCGTGTGTGGGGACCACATACATTCGTACGGCTAAAATGTGATTGGCTTCTGGTGGCGCGTGGATAAGAACAATCTTATTTCGATACAACGGATTCAGATCCGAAACCCCCCCCCCCCCAAAAAAAAGACAACTAAACGGTGGACTCGCGAACAAGAAGCTTACCCATAATGGCGCGTGGCTTGCACATTGCCCGTAATGGCACCATCTTCCTCACGCTCATCCCAGGAGCCTCCCTCATATCGATCTCTTCTCCATTCACTTTCTCCCAATCGAAGCACTGAATCAACGACCCTAACGCCAACGCCACGATCCTCTGCGCCAATCCGGCGCCGGGACACATTCTCCTGCCGTTTCCGAACGGCATCAGCCGGCGAACCTCCGCTTCTCC